TTTTTTGTGCACAAATTGAATATAATCATGAGATATGGAAGAAAAAAGGAAAAGAAACTAAAAAACATAGAGAAAGTTAATTTTTATGTGTAGAAAATACAGAACAAATTATTTGTACATTCTACAAAATTTCTTTTCATCTCCAACACATTCATAAATTAGTATTAAAATACTTCAATCCTTAATTTATCTTTACATCGATCTACATATTAATCACTTTACTCACTTTACTAAATGTTAGATAAAGAAATAATCCCATTTAAATTATACTTTATATAAAAATTAAAACTATTTTAAAATAAAATCTATGACAATATTATTATATAACTTTAATAAGTATTACATAGTTACGATAAAATCAATATAATGCATCAATAATATCATGATGGTTCCTCGAATGATGATAATACAAAAACAATAATAGTATAATGTTCGTTAACACCTTTCTTTATTAAAGATATAGCAGATAAATACTTTAACGCCACAATACTGTGATTATTATATTATACAGAATTAATTCATTTAGCTTAATATGTTCGCCCACAAACATATTCATAATATATTTATCTATAAATAAATTTGATCCTAAATGAATCTCTCAAATCAAAATTTTTTAAGAAATTTACTTGTTGGTAAATTATTATAAATATAATGTAATATATACAAAAAGATTTCCTAATATAAGCGTGATTTAACTCTGTTTTTCAATAAAGCCTTTTTATGTCAGCAATTTCTACACATGTGTGTGTATACATTAATGTGTTCTGTATATCTGTTTGTCTGTTATGTGTATATGTATAAGTGTAAATGTTATACAAGTTATAATAAAATATACTATTATTTTCTTGAACTCATCACACTATTGTATTCCGTATGTGCGAAACATGTACGATTACTAATAAACAACAAATAATAACGCATGACAAATCATAAAAAGGGATGTAAGTTGAGAAAACTCTCTCGTTGCGACCTTAAAAAAATATCAAATTCTCCTGTATATCATTTTAAGAGCTCTAAAACACCATTGCATACTATTCACAGCCTATATATACATAGTAACTTCTTTATTTATGTACAATCTTGACTCAATCGTTTAATAATTGTTGGAAATTATCGCGCAACGTTTTTTTTCCTCTTTCTTTTTATGACCTTCTGTTTAACTTTAAACAAACTTGCCCAATGTCTATTATATTGCATAATAAAATTTGACAGATCTCTTCACTAATATCGTTGAATTTGCCGATGGATATTTTTGCTTGGCGTACCACTTGTTTTCGCTCCTCGCAGAAAGTTTCACTATAGTTCAGTGTTTTTTAAGAACGTTGCTGTAAATCACTGAAGAGTTTGTGGATTGCTGAGTGGTTTATATCCCTGTATAGTAAATAATTTTATATGTTAGTAGTCCATTAGTATCTTGCAATATTATTAATATAGAAAGCGGAAAAAGTTGCTTGTTATCTTGGAAAAGTTTTATATAATCATTTTTTTTTTAATCAGGAATCTTGATCAAGAATTTTAAATTTATGATATATAAATAATATGATAAATAAAGATTAAACATTCTGAGATTAATCAGAAATTAAAACAAAAAAAAGTAGATCATACTGCATTTGAAAGTAATAGAAAGATTAGATGACGATAGAGATCATAGCTTCACACGGTACATCTTAGTGATTCATGCTGCCATAATAACGTATATTTAGCCGTTTGCCGCCAGGTCTTACAGTGTTATTAAAGGAATCGCGCAAACGTTCCGTAAACGTTTTGTATTCCATCTCCGGATTACTTTGCCCAAAGTCAAAATCAGCAACTTCAATCGTGAATCTTGCTCTGCTTTGAATGTAATACGCCACGCCAAATACTATCAGTACCACAGCAACGACTGAGCAAGAGACTGGTACTACAATAACTGATAATTGTGGCTTTGTTGTAACTGCAAAAATGTTAAATGTGATTATTTATTATCATGTCGAGTAATATTACGATAAAAGAATACTTGATATATATATCGCTGATAAAAATTTACCTTTATAAATGTTTATTGTTAGTGGATAAATCTGCGTACTAACTTCGTTGTTTAATATAATTAATATTGTATAGACACTAGGTTCGAGGAAATAATGGATAATGGAAAAATTGCAGAAGTGCAAATGTTCTGAATTATCACATGTCTCATTTCCTGTCACATTATATTTTCCACGGTGGAATTGAAGACATTTGGAAAATGGCCCAGATCCCTTGCAACTTACATTCAAAGATAGCATGTCCCATGGTTGTATCCAATTTGTACCTTCCACTGAGATATTTGACACGGGAGCTAAAGATATTCATTGAAAAATTATAAATTAGATAATATTAATACAAAAGATATAAAGAAGAAAAATTTGTGAAACATTAATTGCTTATTTTACTAACCACGAACGTTGATTTTTTTATAAAAGTATCCGTATGTTTTGTTAGGATCTGGTGGAATGAGAGATGTGTTTGAACAAATGTACGGCATTGATATTTTGGCAGAATTTATCGCGCTTTCATCAATCGAAAGTGCGGTTGTTGCAGATTTTATTGGTGATTTTGTACTCGTAACTGTTATTGGCAACGTTACAACTGTAACATGAGTTCTATTTGAATTTGCCATAGTATCATTTGGTGCAATTGTTGTCACATTATCAAGTACAGCTGCAGTTGTAGGGGTCGGTACAGTTGTGGTCGTTGGTGAATCATATGAAGCGATCACTAAAGCTCCTATCTCATGTATCATGCCAGGACTTGTAAAATTATAAACAAAAGTAAAATCATTCGTCTGTCCATAATACTTGCAGTCAATAAACCAATATGTTGATATCACTGTTGCTTTCTGTGTTATAAAGTTGTAATCTCCCTTACGCATGCTTATCATTAATTTTGTCTCGTTCATAGAGGAGACATATTCTCCTGCTATAGTTTTATTAGCTTGTTCTATAGTTATATTACCATTAAGAGATTCTGAAATCAGAATAGATAATAAAGATAAGATATAACATTTGAGTAAGAGAAGCAATAAAAAAAAATTTTTCTCAACAAATAAATATTTTATCACATTACCAGTAATCTCAAACTCGATACGAGCACTTGTATCAATTATCCAAAAAATTGACAGACTAAGATAATCAACTTCCAATTCTACTGTATAATTTCCAGGAATGTTGCCTTCTCGTGAGTAATTTATACTCCAAAATGTTGTTGTATTTGATGTCCTTTCACTCTAAATACAATATATAAAAATAATAGAGCAATTCATAACCAGACAAAAGAAAGTATCATTATAATAGCATATATAGATAATATAAATAAAAACATTAAGTATAATCCACAAACATTACAAAAATAATATTAATTATATTAACATAGCTTTAAAAGAATCTTTGATATCAAAAGATAAAAAAGACAATCAAATAAAGATAAGAATAACAATTTAAAACAATACATGATTACTAAAATGTAATAAACAATGTATTATTATAATTTTAACCTCATATTGATGTCTTATTAATGAATTATCTTTCCATTTGTATCGAAAAGTTCCATCTGGTCGCTTGCCATTATCTGTGAACAAATCCGCTCTAAAAGTGATTGTTCCACCCAGCACAACTGGTCCATCGTGTGACAATAAGACATAATCCCTGGCGATAACTGAAAAGAATCACATTAAAAATGATATCTGTTACGTGTCTCATGTTTCACTTATCGCAAATGATATGCACGCAACCATATAGCATCAAAAAGGATGATGTATAAGTACGGAGAATATCGAAATAGGATAGGAAATATCGATGTAACAATGACAACGCAATGACAGACTACACGGAAAACATGCTCCACATATCAGGTTTTCATAATGTAATCATTAACATCATTTTTACCTTGTAAGAAAAACCAAGCGCTCCAAACGAGATGGCAATAAAAACGTGCCGTTCGCATTCCGCACATTATTAATTATTATCGAAGCACATCACATTCGCGATCACTTTCAAATTATTCTGACATCCATCAAGAGAGTATCGATGACAACAAATGACAATCTCGCACGATGCTCGCTTCTCTCTAAATCGCCATTTTACTAATCGTCGCCATGGGCTTTTGCTAGCGACACCTACGTCGAACTAAATTTTGAGAATCAAAATGATCAAAATAATTCAAATTCGGAAGAATGAAATTGAATAAAATTCTGACTGGAATATATCCTAAGAAGGAAAATCAAGCTCAAGTCCCGCTTTCTTTTTTTTTAATTTCAAAGTTTTTTGATATTTGAACTTCAGCCCACATAAAAAAATAAAAAGATATAAATTTTGAATTATAAACTATTCTCTGTTATAATTAAATTTAAATTATATGAGAAAATAATTAGTGTTTTTAATTAATTAAAGCAGAGAACGCTTAATAATGATAAATACGCAACCATAAATATCATTAAATTATCGTTTTCTAACTTATCAACGTCAAAAACTTTGAAAATAAAGAAAATCGGAAGCAACGATTTTCCTTCTCAAAATATATTCTACGTATGAAAATACACAAATTTACAAAATTATAAAAAAATTGGAGGAGAGAGAGAGATTATACTATTTTTTATTTTTATTGAATAATCAGTAATAACTGTCAATTTAATGATCGCTGATTATCATCGGATATAATTTTATCTAATGTGGATAACTAACATAAATAATGTTTTTATGTACACAAATGAGATACGCTAAAAATTTGACAAGTCATATCAGCTGATCATCAATACGTTGCCTGACGTTGTCTGATCGTGACATCTGTTGAAAAAAAAAAATATCCTTGAAGTATAATTTATCTTACATTTAATTAGGATGTTAGGGAAGCTCTTCTTTGAATTTTTACCGATTATTTGTCGTTGCAAATTCTCGACGAAATTGAGGTATGCAAACATATCGAAACGTAAACGTGAATATAGAATGTCATCCACTTTACGTACCGAAGCGAATGGCGCGTTATGCGTGAATGAGAAATTGAAGGAAATTTTCAAGTTCAAAGACACCAAGATCAGTAACTGGATCGTAGAGGTTATAAATATTATTTAATTTCTGTACGATGTAAAACGCATCCTCTTTTATGCCCTCTTTTATGCGTAAGAAATTGTATATCGGAAAGTATTTGCAGAACAAAGCACGTGCTCTATGCGTCAGATATACCGAAAGTGACAAGGATACTCGCCGGCAGATTTTACGCACGTTAGCTTCGCGATACGCCGTACAACATGATGATATACGCCAAGTGGCGAAAAGCTTAGTCTGTACCGAGGTATATTGTTTTATGTGAGTTATAGGAAACGCTTTAATCAAGTTAGACATCTGATGCGCCAACATCGTCATTTAATGTTGCAATTATATCTTTTTTTATTTACTATTGTTTTGTAAAAAATTATATATGAATTGTTCTTTGATGATCATTCTTAGATATGTTATATTTATGCGAAGCACTCATATTTTAGTTTTATTACAGCCTGAAAATGAACGACAGATGATTGTTCATGAGAAAACCTTGAAGAATGTACTTACACCTGCATATCATTGGTTATTTGTTATTATAGGCAGATTGCAGCATGGCGTCAAGTTTTTGGTTGATTTAAGAACTGATGTCCTGGTAAGCAAAATAAATGTTTATATTTAAATAATGCTTGCAAGTGATAGTGTTACATTATTACATTTTGAATTTTATTAAGATTAAATCTTTTCAAGACCAAGTTAAATTTTTTTTTTTCAATTATTATTATATCATTTTATTTTTGTTAGGAATTAATGTCAGAAGTAAAAGATACTGATGAAAGTGTAATAATACAACAGTTAAATCATACTTTGCAAGATTTGTTCTTGCTCTGGTTCTCTGTGGGTTTCTTCCACATGGAACGAATAACATGGGAAAGTGCATGTGATATATTACAAAAGGTAATTGCAATTTGGAAATTTTATCTTTGATTATATCCATATATCTAATTTCTATATTTCTAACTAATCTTCTAACTAATCATGAATCTAAAGGTCTCTGATTACGAAGCTATACATCCTATAAAAAATTGGTTAGACTTGAAACGTAGAGTTGGACCATATAGAAGATGTTACATATTTACACATCCATCCATGCCAAGAGAACCTATCGTTGTGTTACATACAGCGTTATGTGACATTATACCAGGTTTAATACAAAAAGTTTTGTTTTCACATAATTTTAGTACAGAAATTGTTTTTTGAAACAAAGATAAAGCAGAAAATAAGTAGTAATTAGTAAATTTTAATGTTACATTTCTATATTTCAGATAGCGTGAAGGGTATTGAAGAAGCTGAAATTAGAATTCTAGGAAGTGCAAAGAAAAATATAACGTTTTTAGAAGAAGACAAATCAAAAATAAAAGCGGCAATATTTTATTCTATAGTATCTACTCAAAAAGGATTGCAGGTAATGGATATGCAACAAAAATTTTGCATAATTTAAAATATTAAGTTAATATAAGTTATACTACTATACTATAACTTTGAATACATACTATAGAAATTACATATAGCTCTAAGAGGATATCCTTGCAGGGGATTGAATTGGGTAATTATTTGATAAAGAAAGTGGCGAGCGAGATTACGACTGAATTTCCAGCTGTGCAACAATTGTCCAGCTTATCACCGATACCACATTTTAAGACTTGGCTATTTGATAAACTGAAACAAGGTAATTATTAATTATTGAAAAAAGGAAAAATAAATAAAAATGATATATATTTATTCTATAGATATAGCATTTATATTTACCGCGCAAGAACATAGAATTGCAAAAGATATTTTGCAAACAGAAAATGTGGTACCAACCTTAAGAAAGACTCTACACACTTCATTATGGACAGAGGATAAACAGTTATCAACATTTTTAAAAGAGCCATTACTCCGTGCATGTGCATGGTACTTGTATAAAGAAAAAAGACGTGGCTATGCCTTAAATAGTGTCGGTACGTGTTTTTGCTTTTTTGTTCATTATTAATTATAAATGCACAAATTATGTAAATGTAAAATTTTGAATATGCAGCTAATTTCCATTTACGCAACGGAGCTGTAATGTGGCGAATAAATTGGATGGCCGATCCTTCACCACGTGGAGTAGCAAATAGTTGCGGTATAATGGTCAATTATAGGTATACATTTTTGAAAATAAATTTTAATTAAATATTCTATATATATTTTTTGAATATTGCAAAATTATCAAATTATTGCCTTTTCCATAGATATTTTCTACAAGATTCTGAAAGAAACAGTCGAAATTATATCGAACACTTTGTTATAAATGCTTCAGAAAATGTAAATAATCTCGCAATGCAAGCGGAAAAATTAAGGAATACATTACAATGCAGGCTATAATTTAATTATAAAAGATTTGTGAAAATAATATTGTGACTGCGAGAACAGAAAAACGTTATTACGGTAAGGTAACAATAACGATGATCGATAATGAATTATGATCAATAGCAAAGCGAAGGTTTCTAATTTACTGATTGAAAAAAATCTCTTTATTACTCTTGAAATTTTATATTTTTATTAAAGATTATTAAATTTGTTCATTTATACAATAGCTGATTCGTTCCCAGCTTAAAGACAGCACAATGGTCTGCAGACAAGTCTAGAACAAATAATATAAGCCCGATTATAATTTAAACGTTCTCTATCGCCTTTTTTTTACAGAGCAATCACGAAAGATACGAAGAGACAATCGAAAAATGTAATCATCTAAGAATGATGTTAAAAGTATCGGCCTTATTTTTTATTGTTATTTTTATTAATAATTAAATCGAATGTGGGTGCATTATATGTAAGTATGTATATAAAAGAAAAAAAAATAAATAAAATTGAGTACACACCTGTAGTCAAGGCTGAGTTTGGTGAAAGTTCGAAGGAAGATGAGGTCTACTTTCTAGTTTTGCATAATCCAAATGGAATTCCTTAGCTACCTTTCTCCAGTTTTGCGCATCAAAATAATAATAAGTACCACGTTCATATGTCGACGTCTTTTCTACAACTCCCAAACCTGGTGCCTGCGTTATCCAAACTTTTTCTTCCATATGATATCTCCACTCTCTGCTGTACCTTCACATCAGACACAAAAAAATTATGTTAGTGTCATTAATATGTACATTACTATTTTTTCAGATAAACACCAATGCTGTTTCTTACGTACAATTCCGCCGCAGCAGCTAATTGCAATACATCCCCAACATTTGTATAAAACATATAAAACAGTAGATCATCTTTATATCGATTTAATTTAACTGGCGCTAGCTTATCCCTGTGAATAAAAAATAGAATAAATAATCAAGCCGAGCGACAAGTTTCAAAGAACAAATCAGAGAAGGCATTATGGACTTGATGGACTTAGAATCTTTAATATTAAATATCGCGAATCACACGCCGTTTAACAATCATAAAATGTGATAGTTTAACATTAAAGTTAAATTTAATCTCTTTCTTAATCTTTTTAAATCGATGGTCACGTTTAAAATGTTTGGATCCTGTTGAATCTAGATATAAATTTGACAGATATTAAAAATAGAAATTATTAATGCTAAATTTTTAAAAATGTATTAAATTTATTTTCTATTTTTAAGAACAAATCAGGGAGGACGTTATTTGAACTTAGAAATTTAACAATTCTTCATTATTGAATTTATATAAATTCAAAACAATTGTTTTATATCGCAATCTATGTACATTATTTTTAATAGACTTAAAACGCAACTTAACGCAACAACTTAAAACTGAAGTTTTTCTCTTTTTTAATAAATTGATGTTCAAATTTATGAAAATCGATTATCGCTCTCCCTTTCAAGAATTCCTCGATTGCTGTACTGTTTGTTATACCGCCAAATACATAACGAAAATAAATGAATATTTCAAACAGAATATAGGAACCGTAGTAAAATTTCATCTGGTGAATCTGAAAATTCATGATTTGTTCTTAAAAATAGAAAATAAATTTAATACATTTTTAAAAATTTAGCATTAATAATTTCTATTTTTAATATCTGTCAAATTTATATCTAGATTCAACAATATCTCGAGTATTTTACGATATATGAATACTGTAATTTTTATCACGCTGCAAACAGTTTCAATAATAAATTAAATAATGTATTGGGAAATCAGTACCTGATCGAGGCATTTATAAGATACTCCGGTGGTACGTGAAAATCTATATCTTGCGGTCGACATGGAGTTTCCGCCCAAGGCCCACCGAAATTCTGATAAAGATTTTCTGGTGAATTCAAATTTAGTCCTAATGCAGTAAGGTCTTGGCCTAACGCCAGTGACACTAAATTCGGATCTGTCTCCGCCGCTCTAATAAATGTCAAAAGCCCAACCATACCAAATTGATCCTTCACCATACTTGCAGGTATGTTCGTTACCTTGCCTATGTAACGATGATAATTATAATGGATAGAATAAAGCTTAATTATCTTATTATGCTTAATTAAGCTGACGTTTTCATCAAACATATCTCTGATTTTACCATCGGGCGATGTTTGAATGCCCCTTTTAGAAGACTGAGATTTTTCAGATCCAGGTGCTCTATTGGCTTGTAGCACATCTTGCCCGATTTCGGGACCGAGTCCTACAGGTATATTCTTATCACCAGACATGCTGCCACCGGGTGATGGGCCTTCTCGATTTTGCGTTCCAGGTAATGCCGGAAAATCCTCCGAGCTCATAGTAAACTCGCTCGATTCGGATGTTGGTTGCTTTACCATTCCAACTGTAACATATGCAAATAAAAATTTACATCAGCAAAGAATCTTAGTAGTCATCTATACTTCGCATTTAAAAATTCCGTAACACATACACGTAGAAATTGTATTATTCTATTTTCAGATTCTGATATATTAACTGGGAGCAGTCATATTATTTCAAATGTAATAAATTAAAAATAAACTCATAAATTATATAGACAGCTTTGTAGGTAGGTCTCGGGTTCGATCCCGACCCTCATCCCATATATGCCTCGACTTATTAAGGATCGATTGAAAAACTAAAGTTTAACTATAAAGAAAGAATACAAAATTACGTAGTATTGCACTATACTCATTTCGAAAACAATAAACTAATACACGCATTATTTATATATATATATATGTATGTGTGTGTGTACACATTATATACACATGTATATATGTGTACATATGTATTAAGTCATTTGTATGTGTGTATATATATATATATATATAAAAATGACTTTTATAATGTATAAAAAAAGGCTGCTCTTGCATTTATGTTTTCTTGGCACTAACCATAAGGCTGTTTCCCCGGCATGGGACTAGGTTGCGGCATAGAATCACCTTGACCTCTGTTTGTTAGGGAGGGAAACTCTGAGAGATCTAATAGAGGTGGAGTACTCGTATCTCCACCACCTCCACTCCCAAAAACAGAGTGGAAATTGTTAACCGCACCTTGAGATCCGTAATTGCGATTTGGAGGTATTCCAAAACTGCCCATACTACCCATTGGATTCGAAGCTCTGCAATACAGATGGAAATGATTGCAGAGAGAATAAGATAGAGAGAGAGAGAGAATCAAAGAGAAAGAAAAGGGGGGATAAAACATATATAAGAAAAGAGAAACACTAACCCAAGAGCAGGCATCGTACGTCTATCAGTAAAAGCTCTCTGCCCAAACAGTCCTCTACTGCCCATAGGAGAGAGTTGCTGTTGTTGATGGCTATTTTGTCCACCACCAGAGCCCGATGCTCCGGGATAAACGTTAGTGGCAACTATCGCTGAGTTGGCTGTACTCGATGTGCTTGCAGACGAGCCTGAGAACATGCCCGAGGTAGGTGTGACATGACCCGTGAGGGCCGCAGTGTTCAAACCCCCCCACCGCCAGTTGCGCGTGAAGTGAGACTTGCGTTCGCAATACTGCGTGGTGGTTGTTCAAAGTTCAAATTGGCCATAGCCTGGTGGCACTACTATTAAAAAAATGTTTTTGCCCGCAAGCAGGCACACCACCAAACACTTGTATCTCACAGATTTGATTAGCACATCCACTTTTTTTTCTCTAATACAACACTTGAAAACTTTCTAATTTTATAGGATCGCCAATGATCCATGACACAAAATCTGTGATCACTTGTGATCTAAAACAAGAAAAAAATTGCAATTAATTTCTAACTATAACTTAAAAAAATAATTTAATTATCAAAATGCATATTTTCTTTTACCTCTTTTTTTCTGTGGCGTTTCGGTGATGGTTACATTAAAACGTAGCACAAAGACGATAATATACCTGATAACAAACAAATAAACTACTTTAGTATAACATAACCTTCCAATGTCCAAGGAAACATATATAACATTTATATATAAAAATAAATGTCTCATATTTAATACACAATAGGAGTAGAACTTTGATAAGAATTCTGATATTTCTAACAATCTTTAAGATTTAAATATGCACGTCAACTTATTATGGTCTATTTGAGCAATGTTAGTTTCACTATAAACAGATGCTTGCAATTGTGATGTTTACAACTGTAATAATCACAGTGCGAATACTTTACATGATTTTTATGTTATGCACAAAACAATAAATGGTAAATGTTCTCCAAAATGAGATCTATTTAAATTTAATATTTAGGCACAATTTAGCCATGTTAAATCTAATTCCATTTCGTTTCTGTGACATCGTTTAGAAAAAAGAAACATAAAATTCACAGATTCGACAGCGGACACACGTATGGTCTATCCCTAACGGCAGCTCTACCTTGCAGAAACATATATACGATAATGATGCTTGATGTATCCGTTCGCGCTCATTTCTCTCAGAAAACTGTGAGAGACCCCTAAAGTCTGTCCGCGAACACAGCTGCGAGTCACCGCGCGTGTCAAGTAAACACAAGCGGCGCGGGACCGACCGCCGAGATCGTCCCGTTAACACGTCGGGAGACAGGTTGACAGACGAGCACAAAAGGGAGTGAAAGGTTATAAAATGCGTAACATGTCAAAATAACGTAAGGGGAAAAGAGATGCCGCGACTCTACCTGGGACCAGCGCCACCGGCTGCGTATCACGACGCGGCAAATTCCATCGTGTCCGTGATGATAAACAAAGTGGACGAATGTTTAAAAAAAACAAAAGAAAAACACACAGTCGCTCGCGCTCGCTCTTTCTATCTCTCTATCTCTCTCTCTCTCTCTCACGCGCGCGCGCGCGCGGGGAGACGTCGTCGATGTGCCTCTCGCTGTCGAGGTTGGCTGGCGATGTTGGTAGACTCTCTCGACTCGGAGTCTCGCGCGATTCCGAACGGGCGGACCGATGCTGGCACACGCGCTTTCTCTCTTTCGTGTGCGCCCGTTAAACCGCGAACTCGCACGTGGACGTTGGGACGCGCGGCGATCAGAATTTCATACACATCACAGTGCCCTTCGGTAACAGGACCCACTGTTTTGTCACTCGCAGTTTCACGAACTTAAACAACACTAGAGACACGAACGTCTGCCATATTAATAATTCGCACGGCGATGCTCAAGCGAGCGATCCGAAGTGCGCGCGAGGTCGATCGATATAGCTTTGAAATTTGGCCGAATTTCATTCAGTAATATCGTTCGACGATCGTTCATTTCGATCGAGCGTGTTTTGGACCGCGAGGATGTCGCGTTACGTCGTCAACTTGGCAAAAAGTGATGGTCTCGAACTTGATTAATATTCCTCATCACAATTCTAGGATATTTTCTAGGGACTTCGATACTACACTTTTCGGCCCATTTAGCGCTACAAATACCTCGAAGCGTTTGATCGGCCAATCAAAACTGTGAATGTAGAAATATAGGGATAGAGCACTATGCCGAGTGAAGCACAAACAATGAGAAGAATAAAATGTCCAAATGTATGTTGGAACCATCTTATATTAAAAATCTTCTATTATTGAATATGCCTTTCCCTTTAGATGGAAAAAGATGCTGCTATATCATATCTTCCTTTATTTTCCGAAATAAAGAAGGCTAGAGTAATAAAACGTAAATTATCACTTCTCTCTCTCTCTCTCTCTCTCTCTCTCTCTCTCTCTATCAATTCGAATTTTGATTTTAATTAGAAGATGCATCCAGTATAAAATTTCAGAAAGAGAATTGATCAATTGCATTTGAATAATTTTATCAATTGATAATGCGATTGATTCATTTTTTTCCATCCAAGATCTTGGACAGAAAAAGGACAATTTTTTTTAATATTGAACACAAGACTTAACGTATACTATAGAATTTTCGAAAATAGAGCTCTAGGGCCAAACGCAATCAAAATGAAAAAATTCGTACATTATTTTCAATAGTATCACTTTCACTTCAATTTTTCCAGAGAGCTAAAATTATTGAATTACATGCAAATCAACCATGTTGCATCTTTGTTTCAAGCAACGCTAGTCAATGCGTATTGACTCGAGCGCATTGAGCATCGTTGAGCATTCACCTGTATTCGTTGAATAATCTATGGAAAGACCAGAGCCAAGGATTTGTAATAACGTTTTATAAACATTTTACACTCGGCTAAAATATAATTTAATTCTATCTCGCTTGTGATTACGCGTCAAGACTTGGTTTACGCTAGATGAAGTGTCTTTGAATGCAAAATCAGGTTACGGGATAAGAAGACAAAACGACGCCTTCGGCCCAAAAATGGCATTAATTAGGAGAGCTTCACACGCTGGTAGTTGGTACTCGGACAATGGTAAGATATTTACGAAAAATTTATTTTATTTTTTTGCTTATCATTTTTGTTGCATTCGTCGATAGATTTATTTAGTCGGTAGAAAATGAATCGGTTAATAAATTTGTAGTAAATATTTAACGTTGCAAACTTATTTTAGTCGGTCTCTATAAATTTATTATTTGGAATATAAAAGCAAACTAGGTGATGTACATTATAGGAAACACAAAGGAATTAAAATTGAACATGATGATTTTCTATGAAAATATACACTCACATATGCATATGATATGTGATATGCATGCATATACACCTGTGTGCAATAGGGCATATAACAAATTTTTTTGATATGTATTTGCATGTAACTGCATGATAAAAATTGTTGTGTTATCTATTGTTTTAAAATTATAACTTTACTTGCTATAGGTTTGGAATTGAGTAAACAGCTGGAAGGTTGGTTGAGTGCGGCTGACTTATCTCATGGACCTGCGAGAGCAATCATTGCCCCGTAATTATTCTTATAATCTTAAAGTTTGTTAAAATATATACATATATGTATATAAACATATAAATATATATAATTTTACAGACATGCGGGATATAGTTATTGCGGGGCATGTGCTGGTTTTGCTTACCGACAAATTAGTCCTATAGTTGTGTAAGTTAGGTCATATTAATTATATTATTTTAGCATATTACAATTAAATGTTTATATTTTTGGTTTATAATATATATATATATATAAAATATATTTAACTTATATATTTAAACTTGCTTTCATAATATTTATATAATACTATATATTATTTTTGTATATCTCTCATTATAATTATATAAAAAGACATCAGACTGTTTAGACATATTGCTACAGTTTAGTAAAAAGTCATGTTACATCTTAAATTTTCATCATATAAAGTAGTCTTTATAATATATAGTTTAGTTTGTAATTTTTCAAATTTCTCAGTCAAATGAACCGTGCAACGTGCTGTTATGCAGCCGTAGGATATTTATTCTAGGGCCTTCTCATCATGTGAGATTACCAGGTTGTGCCCTATCTTCGGCTTCCATTTATCGAACACCATTATACGATCTACATATTGATCAACAAGGTACTTATATATAGATCGTCATGTCTTACATTGTCTTTTTAAAAAAAATATTTAACGTGTTATAAATATTGAAAAAAAGAAATCAGACATTTTATGTAAGAAAAAGTGCAACTGTAATTAACACATTATTCTTAAAATATGGGTGTTTAACAGTGAGAAGAGAACTCGAGGAAACTGGTCATTTTGAATGCATGGATCTGAACACAGACGAAGAAGAACATAGCATTGAGATGCAGTTGCCATTTATTGCTAAAGTTATGGAAGGGTATGTGTAGATATATGAATTAATTCTCACCTATCACTAATTAGAAGTATTAAGAACTATATCAATAGAAGTTGAAATAAGCAATTACTATTAAATAATTGGAATATATAATAAAGTATTATTTTATTTATATGAACTTATATGTATCTGTCTTATATGTAGCTTTAAAGAATCTTTTACCATAATCCCAATTTTGGTGGGATCTTTGAGTCCGGAAAGAGAAGCACTTTATGGGAGACTGTTAGCACCTTATATGGCTGATCCGCAAACATTATTTGTCATCTCTTCGGATTTCTGCCACTGGGGACAACGTTTTCGCTATACTTATTATGATAGATCATGTGGGCCTATACACAGATCAATCCAAAATCTTGATAAAATGGTATGCTTCAATTTTCTCTCTCTTTTCTTTCTTTTTTCTTCTTTAAGCAAAGACATGTGCATGACGTTATTATAATTTAAGAAGTAATATTATAATCTTAATTCACATTTTTTTTACTAAATCAGGGTATGGATATTATAGAAACTTTGAATCCTCCAATGTTTACGGAATATCTTAAAAAATATGGTAATACTATATGTGGACGACATCCGATTGGCGTTTTATTGCAGGTAATATGAGTAGAATTAAACATAAAAGATAATGAGCTAAATTCGAATTCTTCTAAATAATATAATTCTATTTTTGCAGGCAATTCACGGTCTTAAAGGAAATACAAATGGTCAGAGAATGAATCTAAAATTCTTGAAATATGCTCAAAGTAGTCAATGTAATAATATGAATGATAGTTCTGTTAGTTATGCTAGTGCTTCCCTAGTTCTTGAGTGATAAAATCATATAATTTGAATGGTCACTTTGAATATAAACATTTTCTTAAAATGGAATGATGTTTGACAGTAACATGACAGTAATGTTCTATAAATTATTAAATGAGATTAGGCAAAATGTTGAGATTTTGTAACGCAGAAGAGAAAGATACGGGGACATTGAATTTAACTGTTATAACTTTTAATTATTTGTATTATGTGGATATTATGCTATGGGTGTTGGGGCAAATGTTAATTCTTGCGCTATGTGTAACGGATAGAAATGTATTATTATCAAAACTCTACATAAATGCCTTTCGGTTTATTACTTACAAGAGATATTCAGTACTTCCAGATTTCAATATGGGAAGGAGCTTAAATATTTCTTTGCTTTGATTCTTGATATGGCTATTTTAGAATTAATAGCAAAATATGTGCACATTTGAGAAAACAGATTTCAAACTATTGGCAAAGAAGAGAATAATATTGTTAGCATTTATAAATGAAATTAATTAGGGATAAATAAGGGATTTAATTAGGGATTAAAATTGTTATCTAAATTTATATTTTAAATGTGCTATTCGTTTTTAGAAATAATATAATTTTGGTGGTGTTTAAATTTTCTTATGTTTAGGCTATGCTTTGGATTAGCATAGTTAAATTATATGTTTCTAGGTTGGTAGATAAAGTTAATTTAGAATTATGGATTGTGTGTATATGTGTGTGTGTATATATATATATATACACACATACACATACACGTACTGTTACAAAGATAATTATTTAATAATTTAAACATTTAGATTCTATATACATTGTGAAGAGAGTATTTAAATATCAATTTTTAAATACTTTATATAAAAATGAAACTGAATCAAATTTCTAGTTTCCTCGTAATTTATAATATATCAGATAAATAAATTTTACTTGCGTTATTTCAACGTCTTACTGTGATTTAAAATAAATGCATTAATGGACTTGTGATCTTTTGTCAGATCTCTTCTGTGCCCTTAGTATGAACAATCTGTATCATCACTGGTAT